TTAATTAATAAAAAAGAAAAATCGAGGAGTGGATGTCACTGTACTACACAGCAGATGTTATAAGTGTGTTAATGTAATGGATGGTATTAAATTTGAATTTAATGATATAATATCATTGTATAYCAAAAACGATTCTAAATGTAAATAGTTAGGTTAGCGTGACATTCTATGATATTTTATACAATATTAATTATATTGGTATTATTTCAAAAAAAAAACCATATAGGCACCTATAAATAAAATTCTAAATTAATCAAATCAGATTCATTATGTACCCGACTCACTCAATTATTCATAGTATGTACAATATACTTTAAGTATTAGCATAAGTCATTAAAAAACATTAAATATTAAAATTCGATTATAAAGAATACTAGAAATTTCAAATATCCATGAACAATATTTTTTAACTACAACAATATAACTGAAATTTTTATTCTTGGTTATTTAATATGTGATTTCGTCAAAAATAGAACTTAAAAAACTGTGTTTGTATAGTCTTTAGATTTTTTGTTACATAATTAACAACATATGTGAAACTTTTTTAAAAATTTTCATTGCTTAGCTATACAATTTGAATGTTTTATAAATTTTTAACTATTAAATAATTTGTAAATTTTCAATTAAAAAATTTTATAAAAATCTGAACTTTAAACGGTTATATAGTGAAAAATTCAAATTTAAAATTGTTATTACTGGCTTAAATGAGGTAAAATAATTTGAAATAATATCTAGTATAGGAATTGATTAAATAAGCAAATGGTATAATGATATAATGGTTATCAGTATAAGATAAATAAGAAGTACAATGTAAACTGATTTTAATTTTCTACACCGCAACATGATTAAATTGAGAGTATTCATCTTAAATATTTGTTTAAGCATATACCATAGACTATATTATGTATTACACTATGTAGTATAATATAATGTTATAACTTGAGCCCTTTTATTTTAAGCGGTGTAAACGAGAAGATAAATTGAAGTACCAACTGGTACACTTATTGAAAGAATAATTACCAGAATTGAATTACGTTCTCCATTGCAATTATTCTGGTGGAATGTGTAATTAAAGGAATTCCATTTATTGGACAAGGCAATATTTTTATATTGTATCGTAGTATTAGACATTAGATACTGAAATTCCTAATAAAAGTT